ATTTCGACAAGGTTTTGTCATCAAACCTTGTCGAAATGTTGTACATTTGCTGTTATGTTAAACTTATATTAAAGTTTTTCTTCATTACCCACTCAAGCCGTCTCCAGCCATTATTAGTCTCAAAGTGAGTTCCTCGTCATCGAATAGTAATAGTATATAATGAAGTGTTAAGTTAGTTTATATTGGCTTCTTTAAAAAAATAAAAATACTGTTTATCAAAACCATTTACATTTCTTTGAACTATTCACCAAAATGTATACTATTTAATTATTAATATGAAAAATCAATAATTTGAATAAAGCACATTTTAAAAATTACAAACATAATTGTTTTTACATAACCGTCTGTTTGCTGGACTCACCTTCTGAATTTCCAGTTCATTTTCAACCTTTTTTTTACCATTAACTCGTAATGGAAAGCCGGTTTTAGGGAGGAAAACTGTTTTCGAGTATTTCTTAGGATCAGAACGCGAACAAAATAGCCGTAAAAACACGTGCTGTACGCTAATCAACCGACTATCAGTTCGTTGCACAACAGGTATCATATTCATAATTAACCATGAACGTTTATTAATATTAGTACTACAGTTACGTACTGTACACTTAAATTGTTGTGCAGTAAATAACAGACTCACAAGTTACCATGTTTAGATATGGTAGTGTCCCCTATTAGTAGAACTTGTATATTTCTTCAATTAGAGCAAAGGATCACTTTTGGCAAAAATCGTGTCATGGGATATTAATTAATGATAATTAGGGTTGTAAAAAACGCATATCGACTGAAAGCAATTCTCCCAGTAAATGTGTAATTATAAACACTTGAAGAGTATTTGTGACGGTGGATAAGATACTTTAAATATTAATGATTGAACTTAGTACTGAAATGTACTGAAAATTTTAGTGTCTAATTTTTTAATCAACAAGCCATTGAATTAATATTTTTTAATATCCTTAGTGCTGTATTTTACACAGAAATATACTATAATATCCAGCGGCAATTGTCCCTTTTGTTTTCTTTCTTGATGTTGTAAAGTGGTTAAACTATTGGCTGTAGTTGATAGCTTCATTTTAAACCTTAATTATCAGCGTGATTTTCACACTGCTCACTACCAGTGGGATCCACCATAAGTATGATTGACTAGAATTCAACGTTTCTTCATCTAAGCTGTCGCGGACCACTAAAAACCAAATACCGCGAAAACCTATTATCATTTACACGTGAATATTCTGCCATTGTTTGTTTATTTTTGTAAAATATTGTTACGACAGCGGAAGTCACGTAATTCTGGTAACACGCGATGAGTATCTAAAAGACTCACGAAGAGGCGAGTGCAATCTAGATGTGCGCTTTTATAGTATATAAGCCGGCAAATATAGTTGCAGATGGAGAGATTGAAGATATAGACACGGATCACTGAGTCAAGCGAGCGGTGGGCACCGTAAGTAAAGTGCGTGAATCGTTGTGAATTATAGCGTGTGTTCAAGTTAAAGTGACTGTAGAAATTAAGAGTATTGCAAAGTTGAATTGAGAAAGAATAAACTAGTTTTATTTAAGAAAGGACTTCTATCACAGAAGTTTCTCGGAAATAAGTTCTACGGAAAATTAACAAATGAACACAGAGGTAACAAACTGGTGTCAGAGAGTGGGGCGGAAAATAAAAATAATAAAAGAAGAAGAAGAAGATGGAAACGAGAGGTGGAAAATCAAACTACAGCTTAGCACATTTGATGGCAGCAATACAAGAAGAGCAAAAGAAACAAGAAGAACGAGAAAAGAAACAAGAAAAAAAACAACACCAGTTGCAAGAAAACCTGCAACAGTGGCAGC